ACAGACATACAGTTAAAGAACACAGCAGAGTACACAATTTGTAGGAGCAGTTTCAAACCAACAGAAAATATCACCTCTCATTTGTCATCTTCTATATCAGTTTTACCAGATACTTCTAAATTTGTACATTATTTGTAAGGAAAGGAAGGAAAACCCTAAGACTTGTCTAACTTAGTGGAGAATGTGTGTGTTGGCTTTAGGATGGATAGCAAAGTCTTATTGCGCTGTGTTATCTAACTTGTATATAAAAATTGTAATTAAAAGTTTGGATTCACCTGTTTCTCGCGGTTTAAAAAGATAAATAATTGCAAACTCTGGAAATGTGACTAGTGTATGATTTAAGGCTGTAGAAATGAGGAAGCTCTTTCAAGTGCTAAAACTAAAGACTTCTAGTTCTTGGCTCAAATTCAGTAAGTACTGTTTGTATACCAGGATATGTGAGATGTAAATGTAGTAGGTCACTTTTCACCCTTGTAGCTATAAAATGAAAAATTTTGTAGAACAGAAATAGCTTGTACTACTGAATTAACAAAAATTATACTAAAGTATCCTGTTTTAAAAAATATATATATACAGAGTTAAGCTTGTTGCTGTTACCCTGTCTGGATTTGAAAAGTGTGCTGATTTATATATATATTATATATACACACAAACACACATCTCAAATGGCCTAAAGCAGACATCTGTGTAATTACAGTTGCAAAATGAAGACATTTTGGAAAAGAACATTGTATCATAGTTCATGCATTTGCAGTGGATCTTTGTTCCTTTTTACTGTGGTAACTTTAGAAATGAGTGTCAAGTTTGAAATTAGATCTGCTAAGTTGGGGTTTTGCTGCTTGAACTCTGCACTGGGTCCTCAAATAAACCGATGTGAATGTAGTTTTTTCCCCCTGTGTGAAGAAGCAGCCACACCCCAACAAAATAGGAGGAAAAATCTAGAACTATTTCAAGTTTTATCTTTTTGTATATGAAAATAAAATAATAATAAAACAACCCTGTTGTCTCTCTTAATCATATGGCAAGGTATTGACATTTCCTTTTATTTATTAGAAGTAAATAAAATGGCATTTTCTCCACTTGAACAGGGCTGTCTCAGACATCCCTGTGAGTTCCTATTTGGTACCCATGCAGTTATGAATGCCTGAGTGCCAGGTCTACCCTAGTCCTGTGGGGCTGGGGCTAAGCACTGGTCTCCATTTCTGCCTTTCAGAAGCCCAGGGCCTAGTTGAGGATATTCTGGGCTCCCTAAATGGACTGTTCTCCTGGGATTTGGGGTAAGTTCCTACAGGACAGGTGTGCATATTCTGAATCTCCAATGTGCTTCCTATCTCCCAGTCCTATACCTTTTAGGCAACTCTGAACAATATTTTGTAAGTGGAGCAAGGAAGCCTAGAAAATAAGTTGTATTCAGGAGTACTGCAGAACATCAGCTTTGATGTTCCCAAATTTGATTAGTATTGGGGTCACTTGCGGAGTTATGGCAGCCTTACTGCAGACCTGTAATAGCAAAATTCTTAGGTTTTGTACAGGAGCTCTGGTAGCACAGTACCTAAGGCATTTGACTGCTAACAAGAAGGCTGGCAGTTCAAACCCACCAGCCACTCCTTGGAAGGAGGATGAGGCAATCTACTTCTGTAATCATACTGCCTCGGAAACCCAAGGAGGGGTCACTGGAGTTCCTGATTAATCTCACTAAATGAAAACATGGTTCACCACTAATGAAATAATGCTGGTGGTCTCCTGTTGGGTGCTGTAGAGTCAATTCCAACTCCTAGCAGCCCCTGTGACAGAGTAGAACTACTCTGTAGGGTTTTCTGGGCTGTAAACTTTACATAAGCAGATCACCAGGTCTTTCAGCCACAGACCCAGTGGGTGGGTTCAAACTGCCAGCCTTTCAGTTGGCAGGGGAGGACTTAACCATTGTGCCACCAGCGTGCCTCATGGACTCTACTACTTAGCAAAGAAAACAAGAAAGCCCCAGAAATCACTTTACTACTTTCTGTGCCTTCCGCAGTATTATAAAAGATTTTTTTTTTTTTTGGTCCATGACTAGTATTTGCTTACATGGAGAAACACCAGCTTTGAGTCCTCCTCCCAGTGGAGTTTAAATTTTTTCTTTTTTAAAATTTATCCCTTATTGTAAGAATTAAAGCGACATGCTTGGAACTCCCTGAAGAACAATGTTTGATGAAAGGAAGAGCCTTTTATTTAGAGATCTGTGGCCATTTTTGCTCTTTCAGATTTAGAAAACTCAACCTTTCATTAGTGAGCATCCCCAAAGATAGCACAGAGAATGGGAGAAAGGCAAAAGGCTGACTTCTGAATGAGGAGCTTGGAGCTAGAAAAGCTGGAAGATTAGACTTTAGGGGTCATTTGGTCAAACTTTCTCTTTAGCAAAAGGAATCTTTTCACTAAGAGTTTTTTGTTTTGCCTTTTTTTAAAAAATGTATTTTTGGTAAAAATATACACAGCAAAACATGCTCCCATTCAACAATGTCTACACATATGTTAGTTACATTCTCCATAATGTGTCAACATTTCTCATTTTTGTTCTAGTTGCTTCACTGGCATTAACTTAGGCTCACTGCCCCCCAGCCTTCTCATCTATGCTTTAGAGTAACTAGTCCATTTGGTTTCATACAGATAATTGCTTAAAAGGGTGTGGTACTCAAGGGAGACATTCTTTGTGCTAAATAGCTTTTTAGTTTAAAGGTAACTTCACAGGGTATTTCTGCTTTAAGGTCACCAAGAGATTTGACAAGCTGGTTTATAGAAGCAGGTGTCTCCAAGTAAAAGTGGGCTCAGGGGCCGTTCAACTTGCCTTCTCATTCCCTCAAGTCTCAGGCACCTTAGTGGAACACTAGGGTTTTCTTGAATACAGTTTAAAAACTACTGGCCTAGTCCCTCCCTTCATTTTATAGGTAGGCAAATAGGCCCAAAGACCTATTTGTATGGAAAGTCAGGTGGCTCTTCCAGTTCTGACCCTTGGACTCAAGCATGTAGTTCATTGTTCTGAAGTACAGGATCTTGATAAGAGTCATCTACTATTTATCTCTTCTTCCAGCGTTTACCACAGTACCTGGTACTGGGGAGGACTTTGATAAATATTTGTAAAATGAATGTGTCTTCAGTACATTCTGGTGGAAGATGCCAAAGCAGCCTTGAACCATATAGTTAACCATGTTGCAGGCTTATATTTATCAGGATTCTGTTTTTTTATTATTATTTTAATTTTTGTTGTTGAGAATATGCACAGCAGAACATACACTAATTCAACAATTTCTCCATTTGTCAAAAGACAATGTTTTGTTGTCAAAACAATGATTGCAAGTTGACAAACTATTAAAAGGGGACTTTATTGGAAACTGGAGGAAATGGGAAGGGCAGGATGCATGTGGGCTTCAGGAGTCAGTGAAGCCAGGGTGACAAGCCTTGTCCTGTGTTGCAGTGCTTCTTCTGTTGCTCAGTGCAAGACTAGGTGCATCTGCTCCTCTGCCTAATAGCGGAAAAACAAAGACTGGAGCTTTGGAAAGCACAGTGCCTAAGCAACTGACTGCTAACCAGAAGGTTGGTGGTTCAAACCCATCAGCCACTCTGCGGAAGCAAGACTGGGCAATCTACTTCCACAAAGCCCAATAGGGTTGCTATGAACCAGAATCAACTCTACAGCGGTGGGTTTTTTTTTTTTTTTTTTTTTTTTTTAGTATTGCAGTGCTGCTCCTCTAATTAGTGGAAAACAAGACTGTAGATAGTACTAGTTTCATATGTCATATAGCTTTGCTACTTGGAAAGAGTTCTAGATTCAAAATTCCTACAAGGGACCATGGTTGACCCAGTGAATTATACAAAATGGGTCCCAAAGAGGCATTCCTGAGCCGGTGGGGGTGGGGTGGGGTGGGGAGCATGGAGCCAAAGGCTGTCAAAACAATGTTTACACTTCCTTGGTTTTCGGAGAGAAGTTCCTGCGGAGTGAATCATTTACGTAGATTAAAAGAATTCCCATCAGTTATCTAAGAAATGAGAATCTTGAAAGGAATGCTAGAGATTGTGCTGCAAAATGAAGATCCATCTATTTGTGAGTGGGCGTTCATGACATACACGTAATGCATGCTCTTTCTCTGTCAGGCGTTTGGCAATCCTGATTTTATGTTGTAGAGAGATGGTGGAAATGATGCAATTAAAATTGCTAACATTTCTAGAGCACTTAACTATGTGCCCCAGAAACTTGTCCAAGAGTTCCACGTGTGCCATCTCCTTTAATCCTCACCGGAACCCTATGATCTAAGTGGTAGTAGTAGTACCATTTAAAAGAGGAAACAGAAGCCTAGAGGAGAGAAATAGCAGCCCGAGATGAAGAGTGGTGGAGTCAGGATCCAAACTCCTGTAATCTGAGTCAGAGTCCTAGGTTACCGTGGAGTAATGTCTTGCCAAGAAACTCCTTAAGAAGTACAAATCTATTTTTAGAAGTCCCGAAGCCAAGTATCATGAAGACATCCAATGTGGCACAGGTTTTAGAATAAAACTTGAGTTGGAATCTTGCTCTGGGGACCACAGTATAACCAGCTGCCTCTCCTGTAAAAGTGGTTGCCTCTCCTGTAAAAGGGGAATAAAGATTTTATTTTCAGGATTTTATGTTTACCCTGCAGTCTGCTTTCCGTCAAGATTACAGCCTTGGAAACCCGATGGGGCGGTTTTACTCTGTTCCGTAGGGGTCGCTATGAGTCAGAATCGACTCCGCTGCAAAGGGTTTAGTTTTAGCTTGAAATGCTGAAGAAGACAACGCTTCCACCCATCTTTGGGCCAAGTGGGGAAGGAGGGAGGCGGACTGGGCCTGCACCTTCACGGGGTGAGGAGGTACGGGTGGGCGTTTGTGTGTCGCACTCAAAGAAAGGAGCAAGGGTGGGGGTGGGTAGTGGGCCAAGTTGCGCATGCGCATCTTGGTCTCGCAGTTGCGATTGGTTTTAGGTATTAGACCGGTGTGCGCATGCACTGTGGAGAAAGTTGCTACTTGAGGAACGATGGCGGTCAAGAGTTTTGCTTCCCGCCTCAGAGGGTCCCGTCGCTTTTTGAGTGGGTTTGTGGCCGGAGCGGTAGTGGGCGCCACAGGAGCTGGTCTTACGGCCCTTCAATTCCTTCGGAGTCAGGACGCGGAGGCAGCACTGGCGGCTAGGGAGCCGGACGGTAAGGCTGCGGGCCGTTTTCCCTTCTCTGGCCCAGGCTTTGCAGCGAGGCCCTTACTTACCTCGGGTGTCAATTGTGATCTTCGACGATCCACGTTCTCGATTCTCCTGGCGCGACCTCTCCTCCCGGTCCTCATATCTAGCTCGCCTTCTTCAAGTGCTTACTTCCCCTAGGCATCTTCATTTTCTTCACAGACTTCTCCCTTCTCCCGAATATTTATCAGGATATGTTTATTTTAATGCCTGTGTCCTCCACTAGATTTTAAGTGCTGGAAGAGTTGGGACTATTTCTGTTTGGTTCTCCATCATATACCCAGCACAGAATCTGGTACATAATTGGCATTCAATGAATATGGATGAATTAATAATTACTACATAGTGTTAGGAGCTCTGGTAGCGTAGTGTCTAAGGCACTTGGCTGCTAAGCAGAAGGCTGGCGGTTGAAACCCACCAGCCACTCCTCAGAAGGAAGATGGGGCAATCTACTTCCGTAGTGATGATACTGCCTCGGAAACCCAAAGAGGGGTCGCTATGAGTCGGTCCTACTCCACGGCACATAACAACAACAACATAATGTTAGCAGATTAGGAGCCCTGGTGGCGCAGTGATTAAAGCGTTGGGATATCAACCAAAAAGTCGGCGGTTCGAACCTAGCATCTGCGCCAGGGGAGAACGATGAGGCTGCCTGCTTGCGTAATTTGCAGCCTTGAAAACTCTATGGGGCAGTTCTACTTCCTCCTGTAGGGTCTCTCTGTGTTGTAATTGACTCTATGGTAGTGGATTTGGTTTTGGGTTAACAGATTGCTTAACTGTCCTTATTAAGTCATCATTCAAATGAAGAATGCCAGCTAGGCCATCTTCAAAGTATATAAATCCTCAAGTTAGTAAAGGTACCTTATATTTGACAGTAAGCACATGCTCATTTCTTACACTTTCCCAGACATGCTGATATAACCTGTTCTTCTTGATATTTGATATTTAGCAAAAGAACTATGCTGATAGGTTGAAGATAGGAAGAGACATCAGGAGGGGATTATCTTGATGCTGACTCCGTGCTAGATCTAGGCTGAGTTTCTTCCATTAGGAAAAACAATGTCAGTTTTAATACTGTCTTGCCACAGCACACTTATTAGTGCTTCAGTGGCAAAACATTAAGGGAGAATATCAAGGAATGATGGCCTTTTAAAAAACTAAAACGTCAAGGCTGTGCTTTTTATCCTCATACTCAAACCTTAATAAGTAGCTCTTTCCTGTCCAGTCATATCAGTGATTGATTGCTAGTATTGGCATGAGTTTTCTTTTGTTTATTGCTTTCGTATACAGTTTGTTGTGGGAGACAGAGGTTTAGAAATTTGATGTGAATGATCAATGAGGTCAGGTCCTCATTTGAAAGTTAATGACTTCACTGCAGTTTACCTTGATATAACTGCACAACTGAATGTAGGCAAAACTAATACTTTGCTTGCTGTCTGTTTTCTTTGCCTTATAAATAATTGCAAAAACAACATCTACTGGTTGATTAGACTTTTGAGCTAATCGTTTGTAAATGTTGCCCTTTTCTCTTTCTTTATAATCTTTTATTCCTAGGAAGAGTTACTAACTTTCTCCCCCCCCCCCTTTTTTTTTTTTCAATTTTAGGATCTGCAGAAAAGGCTCTCTTGGAACAATTTGGATTCCCTTTAACTGGAACAGAGACTAAGTGTTACACTAATCATGCCTTGTCTTATGACCAGGCAAAACGAGTGCCCAGATGGGTTCTTGAGCATATATCCAAAAGCAAGATAATGGGTAGGTGATTGGAAAGAAAGTAGATACAGTAAAGGCATTGATCAAAATTTCCAAAATTTAGAGCAAGGAAGATTGTTGATAATGTTCTCAACCTTTTTCATATCACAGTACGTGTAGAGGATGATAATATGTATATTGGTCACTGGGTAGATGGGCCCTGCCTGGCAACCAAGGAACTCTAGATGCTTCCCAGCTGTTTCTGGGGCCGAGAGGACCCATATCTTGGCACACCAGTTTGGAGGTGCTGCAATGAGTGCCATTCATTTGTTACATCAAGAAATATTTATTAAGTGTCTACTATGTGGCTGGCACTGTGCTAAGCATTGAGGATATATCAGTGACTAAAGGAGATATAAAGAGCATTGGTGGCAAAATGGCTAAGTGCTGAGCTGCTAACAGAGAGATTGATGATTTCACCCAGTGGCTCTGCAGGAGAAAGACCTGGTAATCTGCTTCCATGAAGATTACAGTTTTAGGAAACCTAGTGTGGCAGTTCTGCTCTGTTGCATGGGGTTGCTGTGAGTCTGAATCAACCTAATGGCATCTACCACCAACAAAAACAACAAAGTACATAAACTTTCTGCTCCCCGTGGCACTTTTAGTTAGGGGGATGGATATAATCATGAATGTGTGATTATAATTGTTAATAGCTATTCTGAAAGAAAAGTGATTGGGAGTTGGGATAAGTACCTGTGAAGTGAGGAATGTGATGAGAGATAAGATAGGAGATCTGATTTTGATTAGTGAGGCTTCTCTGAGAAAGCAACCTGAAGGGTGAACGGTAGCAAGCTTGGCTGAGTGAGTGGATGGGTCATGGGATATGGTGAAGAGCATTCTAGGCAGAAAAGAAAAACAAGGCCCAACTGTGCAGTGAACCATACAAATACTATTTTCTAATGTGTTGTGATGTGAAAAAGGTTGAGAATATTAACAGTCTTCCTTGCTCTAAATTTTGTAGGCCACAATGTGAAGAAGAGTTTTGTTCCTTTAGGGTACTTAAGAAGGCCAAAGTGGCAAGAGCTTGGTGAGCAAGGGATAACGTGATGCCAAATGAGCTGGAGAGGTAGGCAGGTGCGTAAATCTGTTCATGTGTGCCTGTGTCTTGGTAGGTCCTGTGATTAAGATGACCAGGTCTTGTTATAATGTCATATTGGTTTCTAGATACTCCCACATCACTATTTTTCCTCTCTCCCAACCCTTACTCATAGCGACCATTATTGAGCTACCAGTTTAATGGTAATATTTACATTTATTGATTACTAATGAGGTTTTGCAATGAGGGTTAACATTTTGTGAATTATTCTTTATCCATTTTCAGTTGGGATATTGTTTTTTAAATTGATTTGTAGGAGCTCTTTTTCTATATTAAGAATATTACTTTATGTTATAGTGGCAAGTTTTATAACCACTTTGTAATTTACCTTTTAAACTGATGAATGGTCCACAAATTATTTCTCCTTAGCTTTACTTGGGCAAAGTAGGTTGTCTAATAAGAGATCCTTCCCACATTAAGCCACAACTCTAAAAGGCTACCCCCTTGGGAAGGGTGAACCAGAATAACTGCCTGCCCGTGATAAGGAACTACACAAAAGGTTGCCTTGGCATTAAGCAGAGAAGGGTCAAAAAAGAAAATTAAAAACTTATTTCAGAGTAGTTGAGCCCACAAACAGACCATCATGCAGGCTTGGAGCCCTAATCCATGTAACCTGGATAGACGAGGAAACCTTAAACCCTGAACTTGTGGTAATACGGTCCTCCACTAGAAATGCTTCCAGGCCCTAATAGAAGCATTTCACATCCATTCTTAAAGAAAGTATTTTCATCTTAGGCCTTTGGAAATTCCCACAAATGCCTTTTTGAGGGCGGTGAGCACCAGGCGAAGATAACCAGCCATATAAGGGAATAATTCCAGTGGTATTGACAAGTTAGAAGTTTACTAATGATAATTCTGTACTACCAGTTATTTTTATTCTTTATGAAGTTATTATAAAAAGCTAGCTTTTAGATACTTAGAAGTTGGTGAGTGGTGTGAATGATTAAGGGTTCAACTACTAGCCAGGAGGTTGGTGGTTGGTACCCACCTAAAGGTGCCTCAGAAGACAGGCCTAGCATTTTGCTTCTGAAAGCTTACAGCCTTGAAAACCCTATGGGCAGTTCCACTCTGTGCACATAGGCTTGTTATAAGTTGGGGTGCTTGGCAATTGACAGCAACATTAGATACTTTATTCTGAACCTTGGGATCTGGTGACTTTAAACTTTTCTTGGTTGAATTAAAGGACACGGGAATTGGTAACTTGATCGATCTCCATTTCACACTTCTTTGAGTCACAGTTTGTATATATTCCATTTGTCCTCATAAATTTTGTGGTGTAACAAAGTTTGTCCTAATGACAATGGAAAATGTAGTGTTAGAATTTGCTGATGTCCTCTGTGACATCATTGCTAGAGGTATTATTAGAAAATAAGTAAAAATTAAGATATCTTCTCCCATGTGGTACTCAAATACTCTGTATCAGAAATTTCTGGATTGAAGGCATAACTTAAATGTTTGTTTTGTCATTGGTTTAAGAGGCAGTAAGCAAGATAACAACAACAGGCAAGATATCAGCGACACTACCCCCCCCAGACTGTGCCTTCCCAGAACAAATTGTCTTGTATCTATATATATCCATTATTTCAGTACATGTAAACTTGTCAGAATACAATTGTATGACATATAATACATGAAGATCTTTTTAAAAAGGAAGAATTTATTTTGTAGCCCAGCTTTTTATACAGCTCATCTATTTGATCAGTCATTGTTTTCACTTAAATACCATCCAGGGGATTTTTCTTTTTAGCTTGAAAGGCCAGGATCAAAATCATGTGAGATGGCATTGTATGCAAAGCATTCTTTCCCAGGCTAGTCCTTTCTAAATTCAGATGGAGTATTTGAAATATCCCAGGAACTTGAGACATGTATACAGTCCCTAAGTACTTGCTGCTAGAAGAGATAAGCAGCCAGCAGCAGCCAGTATCATGGTGTTTGTCCACTGATAACTTACCCATTTTATGTATTTTTCTTCAGGTGATGCAGACAGAAAACATTGTAAATTCAAGCCTGATCCCAGCATCCCTCCAGTCTTCAGTGCCCTCAATGAGGACTATCTTGGAAGTGGGTGGTCACGAGGACACATGGCTCCAGCAGGAGATAACAAATTTTCAACTGTAGGCATTTTTGAGGGGAAGAATGGGAGTGTGGGGGTGGTGGTATTTGTACCATGGAACTTGGAGATTAAAAGCCTAGGAGCTAAACCTTAAAACTGGAGACTTGCCATATTTCTTTCCTATGCTTTCTTCTTTTCTTTTTAAATCAGATGCTGAGCTGTTTTTTAAACAAGGAAAACTATATGTTATATAAGAGGGAATTGGGAAGCCACTGGGAGCTGAAGCTGCTCATTCATTATTTGGAAAAATTTTAGACCTGTAGAAAAAGTAGTACAGGAAACACATTTTGATACATCTACTTTATACATACCAAAACCAAAAAACCAAACCTACTGCCATCAAGTCGATTACAGCTCACAGCAACCACCATTGGGTTCCCAAGGCAGTACATCTTTACAGAGGTAGATTGCCTAGTCTTCTGCAGAGTGGCTGGTGAGTTTAAACTGCAACCGGTTAGCAGTCAAATGCCTTAGGAACTGTACCACCAGAGCTCCTTTTATATGTATATACTTTTTAAAAACTTAAGGTAATTTGCAAACATAATAACACTTCATTCCTAAATAGATTGCCTAGGAACATGTATCATCTAAGAATGAGGATATTTGTATACATGACAGGTGTATCATCACATCCAAGAAATGTGTATAAATGCATTTTTGTACATTTGTGCAATAATACCAACTGTAAATTTATTCAAATTACCCAATTTGTCCTAATTATGACCCTGATAGCTATTTTTGATCTAGGATCTAAACGTGAATCACATAGTACATTTAGTTGTCTCTCTCTTTATTTTCCTTTAATCTAGAATAATTTCCCTGCCATAAAAGGGAAGAAATATCTTTCATAATATTGTTGAAGTGCTCAAGCCAGTTACAGACTATCCTACAATTTGGATTTGTTTGTTTCCTCATTATTATAAGATGCAGATTATTAATAATTTTTGGCAAGAATAGTAGCTAGGTAATGTGTTTTTCCTGTTGCATCCTATTGGGAAGCCCATCTTGTTAGTTTTTCTGTTATCAGTAATGCCTTATTTGATCACATGATTGAGGTGTTTGTCAGATCTATCCAATGTAAAGCTACCCTTTTTCTGCAAATTGAATTTAGACTAAATATACTATAATCCAAAAACTCAGTGCTTTTAGCATCCAGTAATGATTCTTGTCTCAGTTATTACATTGATAATTACAAAATGTTGAATTTTCCAAATTCTGCAAGTCTGTGTCTTATTTAGGGGGGCATTCTGTAAAGAAGAATGTTCCCTTCCCTGCCCCTTACCCCCCTTTTTTAAAAAATTACCTTGGACTCATGGGCTTTTTTTTTTTTTTTCCTTTTGTAAATTCAATGTGTTATAACTCATCACTGTCAATATTTATTTTTATTCTTAAGGTAACCCAGTATTTGCCAGTGTATGCCCCTTTAAGCCAAGTCTTGTGTCTTTTTGATATGTCCTTATCAGTCTTTGAGCAGTCCCATGTTTTCTTGCCCACAGAATTTTCAGGCTCACCTTGTACTGTCCCTGTCCCTGGAATCCAGCATACCTTTAAATATTCTGTTCTTTTTAGTAGGAATGGTATTTAGAAACCATAGCCTGGATACCAGGGGTGTTTATTGTTAATAGAGTGTGTAGTCTCTTTATTTCTCCAACTCTGTTGTTTGTTGATTTGTTTCCCCATCTTTCACATGACCCATGCCATCCTAGGCTCTGAAGCTATATTACCTATAGTCAGCTGATCCCAGTGTCTGCATCTCATGGTTCTAATTCCTGAATCTCTAATTCATAGTCTCGGGGGCACACTGATTAAGCGCTTGGCTGTAAATCAAAAGATTGGCAGTTTGGACCCACCATCCATTTCATGGGAGAAAGATGTGGCAGTCTGCTTCTGTGAAGATTTCAGCCTTAGAAACTTCATGAGGCAGTTTTACCTTGTCCTGTAGGTTTGCTGTGATCTGGAATCGTTGGCAGTGGGTTTGTTCTTTTTGTTTTCCAATTCATTCTGCTCTATGAATGGGTTCCCTTCGGATCAGGTTCCTCCTTTTTGTCTAGTTTGCTATGATTAAGGGAGCAGAATCATGATACAAGGCTTTCCTATTTCATAGGCTGTGAATGAGGAAAGTATCGTACATCATTTATTATGTGAACTGTTGGTGATTATTGTCATTAAGGTAGTAGTTTGTAACCTTAGATAGCTAGGGAAGTTTTGAAAAATCCTGATACTCAAGACCTGCAACGCAAGCCTATTGAGGCAGAAACTCGGGCTGAGACCCAGCCATCAACATTTTTAAAGTTACTTAAGTTATTCCAGAGGTGCTCTGGTAGTATAGTGATTGGGGCATTTAACTGCTAACCAAAAGGTTGGTAGTTCAAACTCACCAGCTTCTCTGTGGGAAAAAGATAAGGCAGTCTGCTCTGTACAGGTTTATAGCTTTGGAAACCCTGTGGGGCGATTGATTCTCTGTCATATGGGGTCACTATGAGTCAGAATCTACTTGATAGCAGTGGGTTTTAGGTTAGACTATTCCAATGTGCATGCAAGGTTAAGAGCCACTGCTTGAAGAAAAGATGTTTTGGTGGCATTGGCAGTTAGA